TTATAAAGATGGAGAGTTTTCAACATGCATTTCTTGAAAATAGTGTTTGAGAAAGAATCCTGGACCCACAAACTTAATGAACCCCTAGGTCATATTCTCTACATTTCATAGAAAACGTATTTCACTTACAATTCAGCCTCAAAATTAATTGATTCAAATCCTGTGCTACTACAACTCTAAAATGCAGTGCCTTAGATAAATATCAACCAAGTACTACAGAGTTTAATTTGAAATACGTGTTCCACGTTACAGTCTGGTCTCCCTCAATACTGTTCAACAAATTAAAATGGCAAATGGTATCATCTGCTAACTCTTTGAGGCAGCAAGAGATACTGAAGAGTTGCTTGAGTTTATCTCTGCTGACATATTCTACAATGTGTTGCAAGACTGTTCTAAGATTGATTTATACAAGTTGAACCAGAAGTGATTTTTTTTAAGTGGATTTAGAAATGTGGTGTAAAATAAGCATTATTCTGGTTTTCTGTTTTCAGTGCTTGAGATAAATTTAAAAGAAGTGAAATCTTTGAGTAATTGGAATTAGACAACTGTCACATTGTTAATTGGCTATACCCTAATACAAAATAAAAAATGTTTAAAAAAATAGAATTAGACAACTATCCATAAGTTGTGGAACATTTGAAATATACATTAACACAAATGCCACATTGCAGATTCTGAACTTAATTTCTCATATGAATTGTGAAAATAATGCATCATCTACAGGCTAGCAGGATCTAAAAGATGGAAACTTCATTACCAAGGAACATAACATTTACAGGCAAGAAAAGAGCCTTTTATATTCTGTTTATGTTCACAGCAACCCTCTTAGCAAAGAGAGAAGCCCAGAAAAGAAGCAAAGTATAATTCTTAATATCTTTCCATTTGGGCTCAAATTACCCAGAATGGTTTATTCTGCCTTCTAATAGATGGCTGGAAAAACAACTACTACAGCAAACCAGTGTGGAAGTGAAAGACAGGCATCTATTTGTTTTACAGGTTTATAGCCGCTTCTTCTCTGATAGCTCACCCAAGCTTCTTTGGGGGCCCTCTACAGCTGTCATTTTGCAGTGCTCAGTGGGAAACTCACTCACATGAAATGAGCTTACAGATTTCTGTTGCTTCCTTTCTTAGCAAAAAGGTCCTTTCCTATCAGTGCTTTCCAAGTTACTCTGTTTGCATAGCTTTATGACTCTCAAAGGAACACACACCATGTAGCATATAAATTAGAAAATTTATAGTATCCATTCATGTAGCTTGATTTATGGCAGGACTCCCATTTCAGCTCTGTTCTGGGCATGTCTGAAAGCAGTGAAAGAGGTGAGATTCTACAGGGGCTAGCAGAGAAACCTCAAAGGAGAGGTCAGATGGGCTACCAAGGTCAGAATGTCTTTGTGAGAAAGCTACTTCATGTAGCTGTGAGTACAGCAGCTCTTATGAGAATAACCAGTGTAACTGTGTGATACTGTAATACTTGTCTCCTGATAGTTCAAGAAGTATCAATATGCAACCTGGATTGCATAATCTGTCTACTTTGCTTTTCCGAATATCATCAGCATCGAAATGAGTAATGCAACTGAACAATGCAGTTCACTCATTCCTTATCTTACAGTTAAGCCATGTGTCTTCTCAAATACTTGGTATATCTAGGCAAGTTTTTTTTTTTTTCCAATAATAGTTTTTACAGCAAGAATATTAGTTCTCTAAGGAATCTCAAGTAATTTTATAATCATAACTGTTTTATCTATGTATTCTGATATATTTTATTCTGAGATAAAGAGGATATGTTTTCAAAGTCTCATGCCATCTCTTCTTATTTAAAGCATTGATATGATATATAAGTACTTGATTCTATAGTTTATAAAAACTGAATAAGACATGACCGTGAGATGCGGAAAACTAACTCATTAGAAAAGACCCTTATGCTAGGAAAGATTGAAGGCAGGAGGAGAAGGGGATGATAGAGGATGAGGTGGTTGGATGGCATCACGACTCAATGGACATGAGTTTGAGTAAATTCTGGGAGTTGGTGATGGACAGGGAAGCTTGGTGTGCTGCAGTCCATGGGGTCACAAAGAGTTGGACATGACCGAGCGACTGAACTGAACTGTAAGATACTTTTGGAGGGTTCTCTGAAAAGTCTGATATTAGTGAACCTGCACTTTTAAGGCTTCTAAAAAATAGAGATCACCTACAAAATCATGTTATATTCCTGAGAGTCTCAAATATTGAAAGAAACTATTTGCCATAAGATCTCTCTCTTCTGTTTCACTTAGGATGAAAGCCTTTGATGAACTCATGAGATTGTGGAAAGAATGTTTCTAACACTTTTAGTTACATTCAAAGATTGAAATGCAATCAACAGCTTAGAGGGGATATTCCTACTTATTTGACAAGTTGGATTGTTTGTCTCAACTCAGAAAATAAAAGATCATCTTCTGATATACAAGGGTTTCATAGGATGCAAGAAGAGAACTCTTGCCTATGGAATTAGTAAAGTAAAAATGTTTGTTGTACAAATTTAGAGATTGGCTCATGTATAAAGAATCCTGCCTACACTGTAAAAGATTGCACTTGCCATGACTTAGGGGATTTGAAGAAGCAGAATGCTGATTCTGAGGTCATAGGGCCTTAGGGGCTGTATTTATTTGCTTGGACTGAGATAACAAAATACCATGAACTCAGTGGCTTAAACAACAGTTTCTTTTCTCACGGTTATAAAGACTAGAAGCCCACGATCAAGTTGTTGACATATTTGGTTTCTTCTGAGTCCACTCTCCTCATCTTGTAGATGTCCAAATTCTTGCTGTGTCCACACATGATCATCCCATGGCCTGTGTTGTCTGTGTCCTAATCTCTTATAAAGATACCATGTCATATTGGATTAGGGCCCATCCACATGGTCTCATTTTATTGCCTGCTAAGTCACTTCAGTCATGTCTGACTCTTTGTGACCCTGTGGACTGTAGCCCACCAGCCTCCTCTGTCCATGGAATTCTCCAGCAAGAATACTGGAGTGGTTTGCCAGGCCCTCCTCCAGGGGATCTTCCAGACCCAGGGATTGATCCTGGGTCTTTTATGTCTCCAGGCAGGTTCTTTACCACTAGCACTACCTGGGAAGCCTATTTTATCTTAATTACCTCTTTAAAGGCCCTGTCTCCAAATACAGTCACATTCTGAGGTGCTGGGGGTTCAAATTTCAATAAATGAATTCCCAAAATTTGAATTCCCAAATATTGGGAAATATGCTATCCTGGATCTCTCAGAATATAGATCCAGGAAACGTGGAAGTAGTTCACAGTATTTCCCAATGTATGATCTTGATTATTCACATGGTAATGCTAGAAGATCCAGGAGAAGATGCCTGAGCTTACAATAATATTTGCACATATTGTCATACATTCAGTATAGAAGTCAGTTACTGCTGTTATTTGTTCATATATATATATATATATGTAATTTTATTGATTTGTTTATTTTTGGCTATGCTAGGTCTTCATTGCTGCATGGGCTTCTCTCCATTTGTGGCAAATGGGGGCTATGATGTAGCTGTGCTGTGGTTGCATCTCTTGTGGAGCATGGGTTCTAGGGCACTTGGGCTTCAGAAGTTGCAGCGTATGGTCTCAGTAGGTTGCGGTTCCAGGGCTCTAGAGCACAGGCTCAATAATCGTGATGCAGGGGCTTCTTTGCCCTGATGCATGTGGGATCCTCCGGGACCAGGGATAGAACCCACAACTCCCGCAATGGTAGGTGGATTCTCCACCACTGAGCTACCACGGAAGTCCTTGTTACAGGTTTTTTAATTAATTTTTTAGAAACTTTTTGTTTTGTATTGGAGTATAGCTGATTAGGGCTTCCCATGTGACTCAATGGTAAAGAATCCAGCTATCAGTGCAGGAGATGTGGGCTCAATCCCTGGGTCAGGAAGATGCCCAGGAGAAGGAAATGGCAATCCATCCACTCCAGTATTCTTGCCTGGGAAATTCCACAGAGGAGCCTGGCAGGTTCACAGAGTTGCAAAAATGTCAGACACAACTAAGCAACTAAATAGCAACAATAGCTGATTGATGATGTTTTGATAGTTTCCAGTGGCTAGTAAAGGGATTCAGCCATACATATATATGTATCCATTCTCCCCCAAACTACTCTCCCAGCCAGGCTACCACATAACATTGAGCAGAGTTCCTTGTGCTGCTGTTAGGGGTTTTTTAAGTTAACCTTTATTGGAGTATAGTTTTTAAAATATTTCTTTCTTTCTTTGACTGTGCCAGGTCTTAGTTGCAGCATGCAAACGCAGTTGCAACATGTGAACTTACTGAAGTAAGTGAAGCAAAATGAATCAGTTACACCTATACCTATGTCCACTCTTTTTTAGATTCTCTTCCCATATAGGTCATTACAGAGTATTGAGTAGAGTTCCCTGTGCTGTACAGTAAGTCCTTATTAGTTACCTATTTTATATATAGTAGTGTGTATATATCAATCCCAATTTCCCAATTTATCCCTACCCCTTTCCCCTTAGCCCTAAGTTTGTTTTCTACATCTGTGGCTCTTTTTGTGTCTTGTAAATAGATTCATTTGTACTATTTTTTTAGATTCCACATATAAGCAATATCATATTTGTCTTTCTCTGTCTGACCTTGTTTTACTTTTTCATAAAGATCAGTAGAGAGTTAACAACATTTTCTTCCCAGTAGTAGTAGTAATAGTGAAAGTTGCTCAGTCGTGTCTGACTCTTTGCAACCCCATGGACTATACAGTCCATGGAATTCTCTAGGCCAGAATACTGGAGTGGGTAGCCTTTCCTCTCTCCAGGGGAATCTTCTCAACCCAGGGATCAAACCCAGGTCTCCTGCATTGCAGGCGGATTCTTTACCAGCTGAGCCACAAGGGAAGCCCAAGAATACTGGAGTGGGTAGCCTATCCCTTCTCCAGCGGATCTTCCTGACCCAGGAATTGAACCAGGGTCTCCTGTATTGCAGGTGGATTCTTTACCAACTGAGCTATCAGAGAAGCCCTTTCTTCCCAGAGCCTTTGTCAGAATTGTGTGCATCATCTCACTTAATATCAGTTTCCAAGACATTTGTTTGGTTAGAACGTCTCAACCACATATGTATCAATAAATTTGCAAGTTTTATTCAAGAAGTGGGTGTTTACATGATGCAGTTGTCAGAGCAGGCTCACTGCTATAATAAATAAACCCCAAATCTCAGCACTTTAAAGTTTATTTCTACTTCTATAAAGTCTAGTCAATATTCCTGATCATGTAGTTCTCCTAGGCAATTTTTCTCCAAATGGTTGCTCAGAGAACTAGGCTCTTCCCATCTTATAGCACTACCATCTTAAATAGGTTGGTTCCAAGGTTCTGTGGAAGGGAAATAGAACATGTAGAAGGCACTCCAGGTGTTTACCTCCTTGACCCAAATGCGAAAGAACGTCACTTCTGTTCATGTTGGCCAGAACCAGTCCTTAGATTCAGAGAGACTAGAAAACATAGTCCTTGGCTGGACAGCTGCTTTCCAGTAATAGCTCTCCACTATGAACACGGAACTTGAATCTTAGGTGGTCAGCTGGCCCCCTCTGCTATGTACAGCAACTCCAGCATAGGTTTCTTTAAATACAGTTGCATTGGAAATTTAGTGACTTAAAAGCCAAACTGCCCAGCTAGAACCCTGGCTCTGCTGTTTATTGGCGTGTGACCTTGGAAATACTGCTCACCTCTCACCACCTCAGCTTTCTCATCTATAAAATAGGAATTTTATTCAGAGGTTTGAACAGACTACTATAAATCACCTGAAATATTGCCTAGCCCACAGTCAACACTCAGTAAGTGGTAGCTATTATCATTATTCTCATGAGTATGTCCCCACCACACTCCTTGTGAAGTAGGCTGTAAAAGTTTCAAGAACCCACAGCCCTCAGTGCAGTAGAGATGACCCTAGTGGGGAACTCTGCCTGACAAAAGTGGCCATGACTGAATGAATGAACCAGTATCTTCTCTTGTAACAGTCGAGTGTTTAACACACAGAGTGAGTCAGCAGGTTATTACAGGGGTGGAATCCAAAAAATGAAAAGAACAAAACCAAACAAACACCCAGAGAAAAGACAATGATCAGAAGCCATGAGACAATAATGCCAAGAGCTGTCAGACACCATGAATGGGGAGAGCTAAGAAAGACCATGGAGAGAGTGGAATAGCAGGAACAGGGGACTGCAAAGAGTAGCTGAGTCATCAGAATGGTACCGGACTGCAGCAGGGACCCACGGCATCATGAGAACACAATGACACAAATGGCTAACGTCCCACATGACCTTCCGGCTTCATTCCAGTGCGCAGAGGGTCTGACTGTAAAACAGATACTTGTCTTCCTTACTTTAAAGCCCCATCACTTAAGATTTCCTACCTTGTCATTTTGGCTTGTGATTTGAAAGAGCCTGTCATAATAGCCACTGTCATTAACTTGAAACGTGTAAGTGATCTTGGTACCTTTTTCTGATAATATGAATCTAGTGGCTGTGAATTTCAGTTCACAGATACAAGTGTAGAAGAAATCTTCTACAACAAGGGATTTCCTGATTCTGAGCACCACCAGCAGCCTTCCTCTGATGTGTTGAAATTTAACCTTGTTCATTCTTGGAGCTTGACCCCCAACTTACCCAGGATGGGTCACAGTTCTGGAATCTTATGCAGTGCTGCAGCATCCAGCAGGTGGAATATAGCCCATGGGTTGTTGGTCATCTCTTCACAGCCCTGACCGCATGCAGTCCACATCATCCCCTCACGTCCAGCAGCTCTGAGCTGCTTCTGCACCAGGTTCACTGCATGGATATTTTTACCAAGGCTGTGAACTCCATGCACCCTGGGGTCTCAAGCACCCTGCGATTGTGCCTTTCTAGGGTCTATCTTGCTCCCTCCCTTGCACTACTACTGCAAAGTATGATCCAGGTTCCCATGTCCAAACCCATGCCTCTGGCCCTCATTGAACCTAAAGAGTCTTTTTAACATTATTATTAACAGACAGAAGCTCTTTTACTTCAATTTTCTCCAAGTCATTTTGTCCCCACCTGTACTTTCTCTTTTCTGCTGAGGTTTAAACTTTTGAAATACAAACCAGAAAGTTTTCCAGCTGACTTTCATGCCCATCCTTACTACACACATTTCATCTTGATGAAGAAGGCAGACCTTCCCACCTACAAATATGAGAGAAAAGGAAAGGGAAAAATAAAGAGATAAAAATTAGGTATTTTGGGGAATTCACTGGCAGTCCAGTGGTTAGGACTCTGTGCTAACTCCTTGCTTCCACTTCAGGGAACTAAGTGGGAACTAAGATCCTTCAAGCCACTCAGCACAGCCAAAAAAGAGAAAAAGTTAAACACTCCAAATACTTTTTATTCTTCTTTTTTTTTCTTTTTGCTGTAGATACCTGGAAACTCAGGTTCAAATTTTATGCTCAGTACAATTACAGACCCTTGGAATGAGGATATTTACTAGTTGTTGTTGTGTTTTTTTTTTTTCCCTTAAATTCTGATTTCAGGTAGTCATTCTCATTTTATTAACTTTATTTGGTATACCTTGTAAACAAATACATTTTCCTACCTATTCAAATCCATATTGATTTTTTTTTAACTGATTTTTGTAGCAGTGTGGAGGGTAGCTGGGGTCTGCCAATAGAGACATACTCAAGTCAGGACTCAGAGCTGGAAGGTCTGTCCTGATGTCCAGCAGTTCTAGTGACTAAGATTCCAGTGACCTCTGTTGTGTGCTCAGCCATAGTAGAGATTCAGTTCTGCCTGTTTCTGACTGTCCTGCTTTAGGTCCCACCAGTAAACTGATCATCTTCTTTCTTTCAGCATAATGGCATCTGTTTATTTTAGCTTCTCCTTATTCTTGACTTCTCCTATGTAGAGGCTTGTACTAGTTACCTTTTCTCAATCTTTGTCTTTCAGTTTTTGCTTTTGCTACCATTTGAACACCTCCCAAAGAAAGATAATATTCATTAGACTAATTAACTGCAATTATTCCCAATTGAGTTTTCCTGATAGATCAACTTATAGGTTCTTTTTTTTCTCACCAGACTACTGATTTGTTTTAAAATGATATTAAAGGATATAAATCAACAGCCAGATGAAGAGATATATAGGGCAAGGTCCCGAACAAAAGAGCACTGTCCTCGAGGAGCTTGGGGCCTCGCATGGTGGCCTGAGGAACCCATGTAGAAACCAGGTCTCCCACATGGAAACTCCAAAAAAGGGCCTCAACTCATAGGTTATTGATTAAATGGGTTATTGACTTTTCTTGGATCTGATAACTGCCTTTGTTTGTGACAATGAATAAGGTGTCAGGGTCCTTTCATACAAGAGAATTATATGCAGAAGTAAAACTCTAGAAGAGGATAACAGGGAAGAACCTCTTAGAAGGCGCTGTGGGCAAACAGGTATCCTAAAGTGTAGTTTGTTCAATATTACCATTAATTAAAGATAGGGTAAATAAAGCAAATATTGTTCTCAGAATATAAATATATCCTTTCCCTTTGAGGCTTCCCTGGTGGCTTAGATGGTAAAGTGTCTGCCAGCAATGTGGGAGACCCAGGTTCAATCCCTGGGTTGGGAAGATCCCCTGGAGAAGGAAATGGCAACCCATTCCAGTACCCTTGCCTGGAAAGTCCCATGGACAGAGGAGCCTGGTAGACTGCAGTCCACGGGGTCGCAAAGAGTCAGACACAACTGAGCACCTTCACTTTGCTTTCACTTTTGAGGATAAAACCCCACCCTGACCCATTCAGACGTTGTTTGGCTCCATGACCTTTTTGATGCAATGACCAGAGTCCAGATTTGTACGTTTGCCACAGTCTGGGTTATCAGGTCTTAAGTATGACCTTAAGCAACATGGTAGCCTGTGACTACAAAATGAGATTATACTTTCTAGTGAAAGTGAAAGTTGCTCAATTGTGTTTGACTCTTTGCAACCCCATGAACTACACAGTCCATGAAATTCTCCAGGCCAGAATACTGGAGTGGGTAGCCGTTCCCTTCTCTAGGCGATCTTCCCAACCGAGGGATCAAACCCAGATCTCCCACATTGAAGATGGATTCTTTACCAGCTGAGCCATCAGAGAAGCCCTGGCACTTTCTCTTTGTCTCTGAATATTATTAAGACACAAGTTTCTAAGTGGCCTCCTGAAAAGATCCCCAATAGTTCTGATGATGATTTGTTATCTCAACACTATTTTATATATATTCATTTGTCCAGATTCCACTAGCTTGTAGATGCAAATAAAGTCATGTTAAGAGAAATAACCAACTAGTGATCAAGTGACGTCATCACTTACATAATGCAGGACTTCAGTCTCCTTTTGAAATCTCACTTTCTTGAAATGTTTTAGGCATCTTCACCTGGTGTCTCACATATGCTCACAAACACACCCCATCAGGTACCACATACACTTGCTGGAACCTGGAGCTTTTCCACCGAAAACATGTTTCTAAAAAATATGTAAATCACAACTTAAGTTGCCACATGTGTCATTTTGCACGTTAATACTTTTCATCTTTGATTTACATATTCAGCTTAATGTATGTATTCAGAGTTTTATGACAAATTATGCCATTATATCTTTTCTAATTTGTTCATAAATTATAATTTAAATTATAAACTTCCCCAAGTCAATTCAAATGCTAGTACATGTTCTTTTAAGTTTTTAAAAAATAGACTAAATATAGGTGTTCTTGTACACCTATGTTTCAAACTATAATTATTCAAAACTTTTAACTATGTATATGTCTATGTATATTGACTGTTACTGGTTGGGTTCCCTGGGAGGGAAGTAGACTCTGACACAGAGCTTGAGGCAACAAGCCATTCATTAAGTTGAACCTTGTGACTCACCATTGTGTTGACAGCAGTTTAACCCTTGTGCTGCTTAGACCCACTTCTTCACATACATTCTGGAACACCTCCTCCCAGATCCAGTAGACCTGTTTTCTAGGGGAAATGTAGAAGTGGAAGTTGAGTGGAAAGAATCACAGCCCTGATGTCAGGGCTGTGGCAGGGTCTGGCCCTGCTCTGCTGCGTGGTAATTCCTGCTGGGTTGCACTGGTGTCCAGGAAAGCCTCTGGATCACCTGATGAGCCCTATAGGTGCCAGGTTCCCTGCAGACACTGCTATGGTTCCACAGGCATCTCAGCTTCTGCTTTATTCCAGCATGCATGGCAGTTCTTGCTCTGCCTGCCAGTGTCTCTGACCAAGCTCCACCTAAAGGCATTAAAGAAAAATGCTTCTCCCCTGTCTCTTCTCTTCGGGGGAATCCAAACCAACAGCGTCAGGGTCTTAACAGATTTCGGTGAAATAGCACTTTCAACTTTTATTTAGCACCCTTCTTCTCCCGAGGTCCCAGACACCCACTCAGGGGACTTGGAAATGAGAATGTGCTTGATGATAGCCACCAGGCTGCCGAGATCACTATTCTCTTAAAACTCAAGTCCATTGTTTCTGACCTGACTTTCTTCAAGATGATTTCTCCCAAGAAGCAAATTTTCCTCATCCAAATGGTTCCATGTGGGCCCACCTTACCAGTTTGCCAGACACTCCTGCTCTTGCCTGAAATTCACCTAATTACAACTTTCTCCCCCAATACTATCTGCCAGATTAAAACGAAATCTTCAAGTAATTGTGCATAAATAAGTATGCTTTTTCCACCTCTAAAAGAAAACCAAAGCACTCTACAGACATTAGCAAGTGCTAACGCAGTGACAGAAAATACTGTAGAATGAGAAAAACAAACCGCTTCATGTCAGAGCCAACTGCTTAGGCTAATATATGTAATGAATTATAGACTTTCCGGCTTTCAGCAACTTTGCAGAAATTATTGCATAAATAATAGATCATTGAAATCCAGAATCTCAGAATCATTAAGAAAGCTGTCTGTCAGTAATTCATGGGACTGAAGAACAAAGAAAATAAAGACTTGAATCTATCTTGCTAACCTATTTTAGCTTTGCTTAGAGCAAATTTTTATGTAAATTAAACAGAATTAATTAAAATGTAATTTTGAGCTAGTTTTGTTGAGAAATAACAAAAGCATTCATTACAGATTCAAGAAAAATTTACCATAAACTCAAAAGTTAATTACAAATCTAATTATAATAAATCACTAATACAATTGATTAAACTAATTCATCCTGAGTTTATACATTTTTCTATTTCTATAGCACTTGTTGGGTTTGTTTATTTGGGGTTTCTTTTTGCCTGGGCTGGGTTTTAGTTGCAGCATGCAGGATCTTGTTCCTTGATCAGGAATTAAACCTGGGTCCCCTGTATTGGGAATGTGGAGTCTTAACCTCTGAACCACCAGGGAAGTCCCAGTGGTTGATTATTTGTTTGGTTTTTAATATCTATACCATTCCCAGAAGACCATTTTCTTTTTTTCCATAGTATGCACTCCAGATAGTATGATAAATGAAGGAGCAAATGAATGATTGTCATGTATAAAAGAAGGACTATTTCCCTCAAGTATTCTGGGCTGCCTTCTTGCAGCATCATGTCAAAGTGACGGGGACCCACACCAGAGCCAAATAGTCTGGATTCTGGTTCTGACTGCATCTATTACGAGGTTGAACCCGGAAATGCACTTAACATCTCTGTGCCTCAGTTTCCTCATTTGAAAATGGGAATAATAATAGTGCCCATCTCATAGAATGTGATGAGGATTAGATGCAATTTCATGTGTAAAGTCCTTGGAACAATGTATGACACATGATAAAGCATAATTGATTTCCATCATTATTCCTCTAACTTACATATGAATAGTCCATTTCAAGTAAAAAAGAAACTAAAGAATTTTGAAATTTCAAAACTGTAACTAATTTTAGATAAAATGATGACTAAACCTTAAGAACTTTGTGGGAACTTCCACTGTGGTCCAGTGGTTAAGACTCCATGCTTCCGATGTAATGGGCGCAGGTTCAATCCCTGGTCAGGAAACTAAGATCCCACATGCTGCATTGCATGGCCAGAAAAAATAAAATAATTTTTCAGGTTATAGAATGTCATGCTTGCCGAAGAAGAAAAAGATACCCAGGAGATGTGACCATGAAGTAAGAGAATTCAGAGGTTTAGGGGGAAATCCTGGTGCAAGAGATAATACTTATGGCAAACCAAAAGCAGAGGTGAGAGGTCCCAAATCACAAGGGGACTAAAGAAAACCAAAACAAATATTGCCAGTATACATACCACAGGTCTGGTCACCATGTGAGTGTGATCTTGAAAGATTTCAGCTCAATCTTTGAGGAATTTCTTACCTAAGGAATGATTTCTTCTATTTCATATATGACCAGTGTTTACAGGTACCTATGAGGAGTCACACCCTTGAGACGCACCTCTGATTTGTTCCACAGATGGGGTTCACAATGATATGCAGTTTAAGACTTAGACTAACACAGTCCCATCTCCAGCTCATCTTACGTGTATGTTTCTCTGCTCCTCGCTGAGCATCATGCCTGAAAAAGCAGGCAGTTGCTCAGCTGGCAAGTACCCACACAGTTGGGTCAATGCAGGAGACACAGATTCAATCGATGGGTCAGGAAGACACCCTGGAGTAAGAAATGGCAACCCACTCCAATATTCTTGTCTGGAAGATCACATCAATAGAGGAGCCTGGCAGGCTACATACAGTCCATGGGGTCACAAAGAGACGTGACGAGCACGCACTCATGCACACAGTACTTTGCCTATCTTCTCAAGTTCTTCTGTTGTTGCTATTGTGTTTAGCTATGACTCTTCTTAGCTAAAGTCTTTGATTTTTTTGGCAATAAGTTGTATATAACATGTTCATGTAATTTTTAAAAAATCTCTTCTAGATTTTTGGTTACATTCCCTTTCTCATTTCTAATATAGGTATTTGTTTTTTCTCTCTTTTGTTATAATTTAAGGTCATCGGCTGAGAGTGCTTGAGATACCCATCTACCCAACAGGAATTATCTTGTCAATAAAGCCTCTCCACTGGCCATGATTCTCCCTTTCTTGGACAGAGCTTGGATGGGTACTGCCTGAATCTGTTTCTCTGATTCTTCTCATTCAGCACTTCAATAACTGACCAGACGCCTGCTCTCTGACACATTCTTTCTTTAGATATGTTAAAGACTTTCCTAGTGGCTCAGTGGTAAGAAGCTGCCTGCAATGCAGGAGACCTGGGTTCAATTCCTGTGTTGGGAAGATCCCCTGGAGAAGGGAATGGCAACCCACTCCAGTATTCCTGTCTGGATCATCCCATGGACAGAGGAGCCTGGTGAGTTACAGTCCGTGGGGTTGCAAAAAGTTGGACACAACTAAACAACTAACACACACATAGTCCACTTGGGTTGATCTGGAAGCCACTCTATTTAAGGTAACTTTACTTATTATTGGTTTTTGCTTTTGATATGAAAAATAACATTTATTTTCTGATTTAAAAAAAATACAAGCAGGTTACAAAGCAATGAAATACTCCAGAATAGCTTAAAGAATATAAAATTGAGCAGAGGAACCACTAACCAGTTAAAGCCATTGTTATTTTGGTAAACATCCTTCCAGATCACCCTCAATTAAAATGAAAAAAGTATCATATTATACATGCCTTTTTATAACCTACTTTTTTACTCTCCAATATACTATAGACATTTTTCCATGTCAGTAGCTAGAAATGTTTGTCATCATTTTCAGTACAGTTCATTCACTCAGTCGTGTCTGACTCTTTGTGACCTGATGGACTGCAGCACACCAGCTTCCCTGTCCATCACCAACTCCCAGAGCCAGTGGTCATCATTTTAGCTGTCATTGTAGCAGGTATATATTGTTACCTTGTATGAATGTCCCGCAATTTATTGTGTTTAATTTTCCCCGCTTTGGTCACGCTGCACATCTTGCAGGATCTTTGTTCCTCTTCTAGGGATCGAATCTGGGCCACATCAATGAAAGTACCAAGTCCTACCACTGGTTCACCAGGGAATTTCCTATGTGTTTAAAATTTTAAGGTTATGGGGTGGAGAGGGAGGTGGGAGAGGGGACCAGGATGGGGAATACATGTAAATCCATGGCTAATTCATTTCAATGTATGACAAAAACCACTGCAATGTTGTAAAGTAATTAGCCTCCAACTAATAAAAAAATAAATAAATAAATAAATAAAAATAAAAAAATAAAATAAAATTTTAAGGTTAAAATATCAGAGGAACATTTTATTTTGAAATTTCTTGAAAATTACTTCACCATTTTGTCCATAAAGCAAATACCCACTTTTCTTTGGTTACCATGTGCTGGTTCTCTGTTAAGACTCTATGTGTATGAACTTAAATTCATTCTTCTTAGAAAAGCAGAGAGACTTGAGTGAAAACCCAGTTCATCAACTGTTTTCCAGCTTACAAGTTTCCATAGATTTTCCACAAAAAGTTAGTTTTTTTCCCACTTGTTTTTTTGATTGTTTTTGTATCCAAAATGTGTTTATTGGAATGGTTTCCCATTCATTTTACTACAGGGTACTTTTAGTGCTACTTCCATCTGAAGGAGCATCGTTCTGTAAGCCTTGCTTTTCCTCCTGTAGGCTGACAGAGGATGGTAAAGCAGCCAACACGCAAAACTACTGTTTGTGCATGGCTGAAAACGGTGGTGATTTTATAGCATCCTGAGTGTTTTACATCCATGAAATAGGAACTGGGGCTCTGCACCAGGCGTTTCTTCTTTTGTTTCCTCTTCTGGAGAGGGATGAAGAAGATCCTTTGCGAGAGGCATGTTCTCATGATGAGGTCATCACCGCGGGAAAGACACTTGTTTTGAAAGTGCTCTTCAAGGCATCATTGGCTTTTTTGGCTGAATCTTCACTTTCACTTCAACTAGCTCTTATTGTGCTCTTTCCAACACTGATTTGAGATCCAGTTTCTTCACTGATAAAATAAAGTAGATGAATGAGTTGTTTCTAGGACTTTTTTTTTCTAGCTCTAAAATATTTGATT